CGTTTTTAGACCAAACATTACAGATTTGAACAAATACGCACAAAAACATCAAAATTAGCTCAGAAACAGTACTATATAACATTTTAGACACATTCTAGACAGTTTATCAGCTAAAAAAAGTTAATTTTGGGGTAAGGTACTCTTTAAGTCTGTTTAGGACCAGAGCCTATTGTAGGTACCTCAACAACAGTCTGTATGACTGCCCTAAAGGCCTGGATTAGACGTCAACACTCAATCCGCTGGAGGGAGCTGACGGACTGTAGACAGGCACAGGAACTGATTAACAGCCCAAATCTAAGGTTTGGGAAAGCTCTCATCTCCCTGTCAAGGAAAACTCTTAAGTACACTGGTTGGCGTCCTAACTGAGCATAATCTGATCAACCTTCACTAAATGGTGATGGGACTCCATGACAATGGTCTGTGTGATGCCTGTGGCATTGAATTAGAGACCTCTTTGCACCACTTAGGCCACTGTCTGGCTCTGAGTGGTCAAAGGAAAAGAATTCTTGGGGACCCCTTTATGGACCCTGAGAAGCACAGAACACTGAGTGTTTCTAACCTTGTGTCCTTCATCCGAGGGATGAGAAGTTTTGAATGAAGACCAGTGTCTTTTTGGGGAGAGCAATGGGCCCACTTAGGAGGCCTCCGCTCATATGGATTTTATATCCATCCCCACTCACCATAACCATAACCATAACCATAACCATAAATCTGTTTAATAAGATTAATGTAAATGCTAATCTGCTCATCAAAATAGTAGTTCTGTTAATAGTGAGTTATCAGATGAGCAGAACTGAACCCACCCTTGTCCTGTTTGTACACAAAGAGCTTCAACCCTGCAGGTCATACCTTCAGTAAACTCTGGTGGGTAAACGATGCACATCTCTGTCTGCGTCACACACTGACACATYCAAGTAGAACATAAACTCAAAACAATATTACCAATTGTTACATGCAGTACCTGCTCAGAACTGATCTGAATATGMATGTTTGATGTTTTGCAGATGAGTGTTTTTCTGGACTGGAAYTGAACAGAGAATGAAAGTAAACCTTATGTTTTTGGTGCAACATATTCAAGTGGGAGGAGTTAAAAAAGGAGTTAAAAAAAWTAAAAAGCAATTTTATGGTGGAGCCAGGGGGTGGCCAATGGTGGCTCTTCCCACTGTWGATTAATTTGTGGCAACCCCAATCATTTGAGGAAATTAGACTTTTAAGCTATATAAAAACTAGAAAGCAATTTCCTCAAAGGAGAACGTGGCCTGTTTATATACAGTGTATATGTAT